TTTATTTGTTCGTTCACTTGTTCACTTGTTTGCTCACTTGTTTATTCACTTTACATGATTTGATCTTTATCTAATAAGATATGAAATATGTATAATTCAATAATATGAAATATTATGATAAAAAATCATTATATAACAATATTTATTATTATATTATTTATAAATAAATGGAATTATAGAATTATTTAATGAAATATTATCAATAATATTACAAAAACTTATATTGTATTTCAAATTTATTAGTAAATTCTTTTATTATTTGTGCTATAAATTCTGTTTTTTGATTTAATTGTAATATTTTTGAATATTTATATTAATAAATAATTTTTCAAATATAAGTTATAAAATCAAGTCACAAAAAAAGAAATATATATATTATTTTATATATCTATAAATAAAAAATATATTGAAGTAATATTTTACTAATGATTCTCTATCATAAAGTTGATATTTTAATCATTTTGGCTATTGATTAGTGATCAAATTTTTTAAATATAGTAATTAAATATTATATTTAGAAATTTTAATCACTGATTAATAATCAAAATAATTAAAATACTAACTCTGCCTTGCTCTATTATATTTTTGTATTTAAAATAGTATTCTTATTATATTAATATATTATTTTAATCAACAATAAAAATTTATTAAACTTCTAAATGATCAGATATATTAATTGATTATATATATTGAAAAATCATAAAATAATACATAAAATTATATTTTTTATTTAAAGTAAGAGATTTAGAGAGTTGGCATTTAATCAATTATAGTCAAATCTCTTTATAGTTATTACTCTTGAAAAAGAAAATTTGATGATTATAGAGAGATTTTTTTTACTATTTTATATGTAAATGAAAAAGTAAAATAAGATAATTATAGAAAAATATAACTATAAATAGGTGTGATTATAAAAAGGTTTGATTATATTATTTTTAAATATTAGTAATAGATTATAATTATAAACAAATTTTATCTTTTAATAATAAAATAGTATATATTATAATTAAATAATAAATTCAAATCATAATATTAGAGATAGATTATAATTATTCACATAATATTAACTTTTAATAATGAAATAATATATATTATAATTGAATAATAAATTTAGATTATTACAAATTGATAATTATTAATTAAATTATATAAATAATGTCAAAATACTAATAAATAATATAATAATAATTTACAAAAATAATAAATTATTTAAAATTAAGTCACTTTAAGATATAATAATTTGATTACTATCCAATAAGTTGCAATATCTCTTTACTAAATAATATAAATGATAATATTTTCAAATAATTCTAATTAATACTAATTAAAATATTAAGTTCAAAAACTAAACTAAATAACTTATAATAACAATGATTAATTTTAAGAGGCAAAAACTTGGTTATTAACTAATTAAAATAAAATAAATATCATGCAAATTCTATAAATTAGACTAATAAATGATAACAATTTTAAATAATAGATAAATAATATAAAAATTGATCAAGCAAAAAATATTCAGCAAAATATATAGATAATTTTTTGATTAATTTCTATCATAAAAATAGAATAACATAGAAGCTTAATAGAAGAATAATAAATTAATTCAATTAATTTACAATATATTATTTTATGTAAATGCATAATATATTAATCAAATAAATATAATATATATCAATAAATTAATAATTAATATTAATTATAATTGTATTATTCAAATAAAACTGATTTCTAATAATATCCAATTGAAAATTAATTTTTAATAATACTCATTAACAATTAATTATCAATATCCTATCAATTAATATTTAGTATAATTATATTTGAATACTAATTATATATATTAATAATTAATATATTAATTAATAATTAATTATTAATATCTTAACTAATTAATATTAATTATGATTACAAATAATTATAAACTATTCTCATTAACAATCAATTATCAATCATGTTTATTGATAATTAAGCATCAATAACTTACTAATTAGTAATAATTATGATTAGAATTAATTGCAAATAATTCTTGCTGATAATTAATTAGCTATCTTATATATTAGTAATTAATTATCAATATTCTTACTGATTAGCATTAATGATGATTGCAATCAGTTACAAATAAAACTTATTAACAATTGATTACTAATAATTTTCATTAGTAATTAATTATTAATATATTATTATTTTTCATTACTAATAATTGCAATCGATTACTAATAATATTCTTTGATAATATTTGATTGCAATTAATTATTAGTAATTATAATCAATTATAATTACTGACAATTTTTATCAATAATAAATGATGAGAATATTAATAATTAATTGTCAATGAGCATAATTATAAATCAATTTTCTGATGCATTCAATATAATCAACAAAATTTTATCAATCACATACAAATTAAAATTTTTAAACAAAATAAAATATATCTAGTTTTTATATTTTACTATTAAAGTTATATAATAAAGATAATAAATTTAATAGACTAATATTATCACCAATTATTATTATATTTGATAATGAAAAAGTATATAAAATTGAAAATTTTTTAAACAAGTATATAGTAAAAAAATAATTACAATATCTTGTGAAATATGCTGGATATCTATTATATAATTCTACTTGAAAAATTTCAAAAATGCAATAAAAAAAGTGAAAGTTTTTGAAAAAATTTATTCTTAATATAATATGAACATTATCTTTTAAGAGAAGAGGAATAATTGTAATAATTTTTATATTTTCTTGTATCATATCCATCATTTTTGCATAACATGTAAGAAATCAATACAGATTTATATTAATACTTCTTAATATCTTGCCAAATAGATTAGATGTGAAATATAAATCACATTATTAATTTAGATATATATTATTTTTAATTTCTTTTATTTTATTCATTCTTTTATTATTCTTTATTTATTATTTTTAATTTATGTTAATTACTTTTATTATTATTTATATTAATATTTATATATTATATATATCTAATTAAGTACAATATAACTTGAAAATGCATTATCTTTAAGATTAATAATTTAGAATCAATCACTCTTTATTATTATTAATTTATTTGTAATTCATAAAACATTAATTATGTATTTAAATATCTCTATTTTATACTCTAGTTCTTTAGACCTTTTCACTATTTAATAAAGAAAAAATAAGTTTTATTTAAGTTAAAACTAAAAACTATCTCAATTAATATAATTTATTTACAACAATTAATAAATTTATCTTAATATTATTCACATAAAAAAGTATTCTTACAGAATTATAACAGTATCTACTAACTATAGAACCAGAGCAATCAGCTATTGAAAGAAATGGTTAATGGATTCTAGCTAAAGCAATACTATGAAAAAAGAATTAAAACAAAAAAAAGAGAGATTAATAAAAAAACGAGAAGCAGTATGATGATAGCACATGGACAAATTTAATAATAAATGATCAAAAATGGAAAATCAAATAACCGAGATTTATCTATAATAGTTATCAGATCGATCATTGGTACAACTATCATAAGAAAGAAATTTACAAAAATTTAGCTCTTTACAAAAACTCAGTCTTTTAAAGAGAGAAATAATATTACTGAACAATTAATACTTAACCGTTCTAAAAGAAACTATCAATGTAAATTACTAATCTTAAACTAGCATAATAATTCAAAATTATATATAGAAGCTTCTTTGAGTCTCTGAGAAGAGATGCTTTGATCTAATAAAATAACAAAGTTCTTACTCGTAATAATAATACTACTTGTGAATACACTATTATTTTATTTTTTTTGATCAAACTTTAAATCTTGTAAGTAGTTACAAGTAGTGAATGCTCATACATTCTAAATAAACCGTCGATTTCTTTTGTATTGTTATTTTATACAGGCCGTATCAACAAGTCCTGTCGAATTGATTTTGTCCTCTTTGTACAGGCCGTATCAATAAGTTCTGTTGAATTAGGCCATATCAATAAGATCTGTCATATTTGTAAACGTTTTCGATTATTGAATAAACACGATTTTATTATAACAACTTAATTCTTATTACAAAAGTGATTCTATTTTATTTCCCTTTCAAACACCCCTTATTATTGTAAAAAAGGTCGATTTGTGTACAAGTCGCCACGGGAAACATTTAGAACACCCAGAGATCCTTTAACCGTAAATAATTTAGTGTTTAGCTCTCATCCCCGTTGCAAAAACCCCTCTCTTTAACTAATTATAATTATTATAATCAACGAAACAATACTCTGAAAAATATCCAGAATTGATCCGATTAGAAATCGAAACTCGATTTTTTATAGGGATAAAAATCCTCTTGACTTTGAAAGGATAAAACTCAATAAAGACGTTTACTATATTTTTTCAAACTAAGCTTTTATTAATGAGTTCATCCTTATAAAGTCAAGAGAATTTTTAAGTCACTAAACGTGGGACACCTATAACGCACCAAGAATTCAAAAGTTTCAGCACAAAAACAGAAACTTACGCAAGGTATTATTATTAATGATGCTAACATAGAGTCAAAGACCCGTTTTTCCATATGAACATGTGAATACGAATATTTGTTTAAGACTTTTCCTTAGACGTAAAAATATGACCATTTTTATTATAATTCATGTTTCCAATAATATTAAATTTCTTGGAATTAATGGAAATGATTATTTAATGACAATAAAAAATGTATTGGTATAATTATCACAATTGCGGAATAAAGAATGAATGTGTAAGCAAGATATTCGGTAGAAATTACTTCCTTCAAAAAAAAAGTTATCTTTACATAATTGACGTTAGTATACGATTCAAAGATTTCTTCAATGAAAAAACACGGAGACTCCTTCACACAAATATAAGTATTTAAATCACAAGGAAATAATTTATTAAAAGTATACCTTAAATAAATAAAGTACAAAAAATTCTAATTTACTAAATTCTGGACAAATAGTAAAAAAGATACAAGTCGAACAAGTAAAATATTTAGTTTACGTAGTTACTTTCCAATATGGTTTTGATTGGCAACAACCTAAAGGATGCATTGGAGATTCACCAGGATGGTACTGCCGGCAACACTACATGTACATTTATTATTAAGGTTAAGGATGCATTGGCCATTCACCGGGACGGTACTGCCGGCAACGCTACATTCGCACTCAAAAGGATCTCCCCACCGTTTAGCCAAATTAGTCGGAGCTGCGTGGTTGAAAGAAGTGGTTGCCAAGACGAGGAGAACGACGTTAATCAAGAGGAAGCAGGAGAAGAGACCAAATTTTGCCATTTTGAATAGTTGTTGAACGCGTTTAAGTTGTTTATAATTATCAAATGTTTATCTTTGTTTGTTATTGAATACAAAGGAGAGTTTGATGAGGAATTTGGAAAGCAAAAACCTCCTCTATTTAAGAGAAAAAAGTTGTGCGAGAAAACTATTACGTACTACGATAATATAGTTTAGTACAAGATACATGTATTAAACTTTGTCCCTATAAGTTTCGAGTGATGATAAAGAAATTACGTAGAATAATTTCCATTTCTCACGGCAAATTATTTCCCATGACAAACTCATTTCCCACGACAAACTCGTTTTCTCAGCCACTATTTCTAATAATAAACCTCTCACACAGGGTTTATTTACCAATGCATAAAACATTGCCCAAAAGTTACTTTGTTGATTTAATAATTGATTAGTTTTAAAATGATATAAAATTTAGGACTAATTACTAATAGAAATATATGCTTGAAAATTTCCATTTTTTGGATCGGCGTTACTTTTTGGGGTAGTAATTGATCATCGATAGCGAATTCATTCGGGTGCTTTATTTGTTTGCACATGTACGTACATGGTAATTGATAGTGAATTGGGTGCTTTATTTGTTTTATATGCATGAAATAAAAGAGGTAAACTCTTAAACCTTCAAGACTCACTATCGCTACAGATCCAAAGAAGTTTGGGACTATGGGTACTTTACATCATATCTATGCATATACAGTGGCATGCAAAAATAACGCACCACTTGCATTGTCGATCTTTAATCACACAATTCTCAATCACGAAAGATCCGACAAACATGCAAATGGTGATATATAAAACTATGTTAGTTATTAGTTATTTCAATAAAAAACGACCTGATATTATTATGCCCAATTATGGGCAATAATTGTTAATCCGCATAAACGATGGTGCGTTTTTTTTGCCGTTTTTTAAATAAAAATCTTTTTCGTTTAAAATTTTATTAAAAAAATAATAACCGGATAAAAAATTATATAAAACATTATTTTCATCACCTCGTATAACCATTATTTTTGCATGCCACTGTAGCCAGTCAAGATTGGAATTCACTGGATCCGCATTTAAACCCGAGTCTGAAGCGAAGTTACGGTCCAGTTTTCAATCAACCCAGAAAAAGAGGTACTGGAGTTATTTTGTTTCAGTATTTAGCGCCGTATATAAATTTCAAAGAATTCTCTCTTGACAGTTACCCCCGTCTATTTTCACGTTTTTTATTTATTCATATCGATATTGTGTTGCATGCCTTAATAATATCGATATGTTAATTAGCTAACGATAACGATAATGGGAGAAAGTCCAAGTATTGTTTCGCACTATAGAATCTTAGCATTGAAGTAGTGCTATTATATGAAAGTCAAAGGTGCTTGGTCCATTGAAAACATGCAACCATTAAAACTTTATATTCCGACGAAAATCTCGGATTATTACTATTACAAGTTGGAACTAACGCTACTTATTATGAATTGATAATTACTGACAATAATTTCGGTAAATATTTATATAGCAGATCTTTTAATAGAGTTCCTCTTAAATAGGTTTTATAATATAAGTTTATGATTGAAAGATTTATATTTGATAAGATTTATGAGTTTCAAGAGTACTTGTATTAATATTAATTTTAATTAATATTTTTAATATTATACTATATATTTTTAATATCAATTATAATTATACGTATTATTTGTTATACTATATATTTTTTAAGAAAAAATATACTTGTCATCAATGGTAATATATCACTGAATTTTTTAAAAAGAATTTGAATTAAAATCTAGATTAAAGTTAACAAGATACACGTAAAATTTTCTGAAACTCCTTTTTTATTAGATTACAAAAAACTATTTCATAATAAAATTTTGAAATACAAGCTATTTTTCATTTTTTTATGTTTGTTTTGAATTTTTTTGTTACATTTGATCTGGCAGCTTGATTGATCAATCGTATTAATCTTTACGATTTTATTGGCTAAGAAAATTCAGTGATAGTTATCTATTATTACAAATAGATTTTAATACCAATCACAAATTATTTTTAAATATTATTTTTTGACAAAGAGTTTGTTTAATATATTTCTAATTCAACAAATAGAATAATAATTAATTCAGGATTAAATATTAACTAATTAAATTAAATAAATTAAATTATTAAAAATGTTAAATATAATAAAAGAGATTAATTATTTATAAAATAATTATATTATATAATAGTCTAGTTATAACATTATTTAACAAATAAATTTGTTTGCTAAATTTTTTTAGACTATTTTTGTAAATTCTAAGCTAAAATAAAATATAGTGACAATTAAAAATAATGCAATGATGTCAAAATTTATTAATTAAATATAATAAAATATGGATTTTTCTTTTTATATTAAAGTTTTTAATTTTACTAATAAATATTTTTTATTTTTATATTAAAATAAAAATAATATCACATATTTTAATATATATTTTTTTCAGATTTTTTAGA